CCACCCACCGACCCGCCAGCTTCCACATTCCTCTCTCGGCTCCACACCTCACAACTCGTTCCGAGACCTGTTCCCGAAGTAGTCGCCACCCATCCTGCCTCCCGGCAGCTTCTGCCTCGGGCGAGGGCAAGACTTGACAGTTTCAAGAAGAACACACAAACACACAAATATACACACTGGGCATCTTTTGACAGAGGTTTGTGGCATGGACTTATCACAGGGGTAATGGCGTAGTGGTGGTGGCAGAGAAACAGGATTGATCCCCAAGAGTGGGACCTCACCCGACAGGGACCCCCACTCCACTCTGGCCCCATTAGGGCAGATCTTTGGGGCACAGCAGAAGCCCCCCCTAAGCAGATCCAGCAAGAAAGGGGGGGATCCTCACATTTTTAATCAAAAGGGAAGCCCAATCTATGGGCATCTGGTGCCGCACGCTCCCCATCACGCCACGAAGTCCAGAGTTTTAAACTAACCTCTGGGCATCCCCTAAGATATATTTTTTTTCCTTCGTCCATGTGGCAAGCGCCATTGTCCGAGGAATAAATCAGATGGTTTTCAAACAGCAACCTTCAGAGCCGTTGGGGCCGCTAAAACATCCATGTGAAGGGGGCATCGAGGACACCGGCGTAGGTATGAGATTTCAGAAATGGAGCCACTCGGCATGCGCTCAGAGGACCGTGGTCACAAAAAAAATCACGACTCCAATCTCTATGCCGGTGGGTATAAAATTGGAGGGACAGAATCAAAGGCTCTCTTTTTTGACACCGATTCCTTTGGCAGTTCCAGAGAGACGCACGGGCCACGATTCCTCTCTCGTGGGCAAACGCAGAGGGTGGCGGACGACGGGGATCAGGAAATGGGTTTGCCCGGTCTCGGGGGGGGGGGAAACGAGAACCCTTGTAAACCCCTCTAACGAAAGCGACCACGGGCAAAAAAAATTAGACTAAAGTTATAAGGCTAAAACAGAGCTGAAGCAAATGTTAGGTTTTTTAACTCTGCGAAACTTTTGAAAAAGGGGACTTTTGTAGCCGCACAAAGGTGGAGTCTGTTAGGTTCTGTGTTAAGTTGGATTTAAAAGCACCGAAATGTTCTCATGAGAGCGTTATTCAGTCAGAAGACCTTGGCCTGAACGGTCCGATCTCGGCCTGCCAGCCCAAGGCCGACTCTCCGGTGGCAAGGAGTTCCACAGGCTAAGGGCAACCCCCAAGCAGGCCAATATAAAAGGCTGACAATGTTCACGGAGGACGCATCCCTTAAGAGCTATTAGCCAAAATGTACCATCGGGTCCTTTTCTCCCGAGTAACAGAGGCCAGGAAAGACATCTTTGGGAGGACTCTGACCTCTATGTATGAGACCGTCAGCTGCCATCACAGCCGACGGTCAGGGATTGTGGGGTTTGTAGTCCAAATCCGCGGGAAGGCCCAGCATCCCCGAATCCAGATCCAGTCTGACTGGGATTAACTCTCCCTCTACAAGTGGGAGATGTAGCAGATGTGCAGCATCATGGGCTATTTTTCTCTGAGTGCCAGCTGACCCATATGAGTGAGGATGATTCTCCTGGGTCCTTTCCTAGGCTTCCTGCCTGGTTCCCCTACTCCTCCCAGCCCTCCTAGCCGTTTGGTGGATCGTGGGGCTTGTAGTCCATCTGGTCTGGAGGGCACCTCTGGCCCTCAAAGCAAAATAAAAGGATGGGGGGAGGCAAATGGGTTCCCTTGACAGCTGTTTTTAGTTAGTCTGGAAGTTCTAACATCCAGGATGTCCAACATCTGTCCAGGTTGTAAATTTGGACCTACCACGAGGGTGGGCCGAGTGGCATCTTCCAGATGTGAAAGGACTCTAGTTCCCAGAATTCTCCACCCTTGGCCATGGTGGTGAGGCTTGCTGGGAGATGCAGTTTCAGATGATTCCCGGGGCCCCGGCGCAGGGAGAGGGCTAAGATTTGGCTCTCTTGACCTGAATCGCAACCGGCCTTTCCTCCTTGCCTCAGTTTCCCTGCTGCAGAACTAATTGGCACTTCTCCTCTCCCCCAAGGAGGGGGCGGACAGTTTCACTAGTGACAGTGGGCGAGGCCACTGGGATTAAAAACAAACGGCAGGAGCGCCAGCTGAAAACAGAACGGGCTGTTATTAAATTCGTAGGAATGGGGAAGCATTCACCGGGGCTCAGAGGATGTTCAAAGGAAATGCTCCTGCCTAGCTAATGGGTGGGTTGGCGGCCGCTCGCGGCTTGTTCCACATTTGCAGGAGGGAAACGGAGGCTTCTCCCAGGAACTCTGGGCACGGGCCATCGGTCAAGCGAGAACAAAGGATGCGAAGCCGGTAGGATGTTAAATGAGCAATCAAGAGCCATTAGAGTTACAAAAGACCTGTTCCTCAATATGTATCAGAACCCTGCCTTCTGATCGCTGGCGTATCGGAGCTGCTGAGAGTTCCCGTCGGCTCATCCACTCTGGTTCTGGGGCATTTTTTCCCCTTAACCCTTTGAGATTTTGTTTTGTACTCCTGCAAATCTTAGTCTTTAACCCCGAAGCCTCCCTTTCACCCACGCGGGCTCTCCAAGCGCCCAGCATCTCCCACCGGGGAGTTGCCTCTGGCTCTTGTCCCTCCAGATGTGGGGGGGCGGCCCCCTCCACAACATGGCCCAAGGGAAGAGAAGACACAGGACGTCACCCCAAATGCCCAAACAGGTGAAGCTTCCTCTGACTTGCGTTTTATGAGCAGAATTTCGCCCCTCGCCTTGCTGAAACCTGTTGGGTAAGGCGTCCTCTTAGAGCGGAGGGACAGGGTGTCTCTGAGCACCTCTAAAAGCGATCCAGGGAGCTCCAGTCCCAGAACGCAGCTAAGCACGCTGTTCTTTCACACAGCTGTCATTTCCAGACACCCGAATTCATGGCCAGTGGCAGATGCCAGGCTCTGAAATCCTCATCAACGTAGAACCATAGACTCCTTGAGTTGGAAGGCGCCTATAAGGCTATTGAGGCGAACCTCCTGCTCAATCTACAGAGAACCCATGCAGATTCTCCGTGCCCCACCGGTAAATTCCCTCCGCCGGTGCCCCCCTAAGTGAGTTGGCATCAGGGAAACCATATTGCCCCTCTGCCACATTTCAAACCATGCTTCCCACCATCCCCAGCCAAGAAGGGTGGACACGGCAGTCGGAGCTTAGGGAAATATTGGTGAAACTCTCTTTCCTCCCCTCGTGTAGAGGTTTACAAAGACAAAATGTCTTGATCAGCCTTTTGGGGAGTCGTTGGTAAGCTGTTTGGTGTGTGGATTTATTGGGCATGGGCTGAAAGAGATGCCCCTTCATTCCAAATGGCCTTTGGAGAATGTTTTGCTCACTGTTGGATGCAGATCTTGGTAAAGTGACTTTCTGGGAAGTCGATTCCCAGAATCCCCTGTTCAGGATGCTGGATGTTGTTGTTGGTGGTGGTGGGGGCAGATGTTCCAAAAAACACACCACTTTCCTGAGATTGAGCCGGGAGTCAACGTCGCCTGCAGAATAAGAGGAAGAAGCGGCTTGGAAAAAAACCGAAAACCTCGGAGTCAGAGGTAGCTGGGCCGCCACGCAACACCGCGCGCTGATCTCACAACACAACAAAGCGTGTCATAACAGTTTTAACAGCGGCCTTTGGTGAATCAGATTCACCTCTTCACCAACACCACCCCCTGGGTTGCATAAGGGCATCCTCAGATGCCGTGCTTAAGCTGGCAAAGATCTGGAGCGCCGTCTCCACTTCCCGCTCCTTCTAACTAAGGTGGCGCCAAGACCTCCTCTGGGATTACAGGCGTTGTCTTTAGAAGATAAGACGCCCCCAGCTTTGCCTTCGCTCCTTTCTCTAGAATTTTTTCTAGCCAATTGTCTCCTTTAGGTTACAAATGACTCACTTGTGTGAGCCAGGCCAGGCGAGCAGTTATTCAACTGCGGGCTCGATCCACCTGCTGGTTCTCCCACGAGCCATCAGAAACCCACCAGATCACCTTAGGCGAGTTGGCACACATATTCTCTCTCTCTCTCGGACTCTCTCTGAGCCTGGCCTACCTCACCGGGTTGCTGCCACGAAGGTGGAGTGGGGCGGGAGGCAAGCGTAGCATAGAGGAAAAACGGGAGGCCTCCATAGCATCTCACTGAAGCATCCTGCCCCACTGGTGGAAAACCCAGGCCAGCCGAACACGGTGTCATTCATGCACAATATAAAAAGCCGAGAGGGCGATGCTACTTAAAAATAAATAAATAAATGAAAGTCTTTTTTAAAAGAGCTGAATACTAGTATGGGTCGAAAACGATTAATTAATTAATGGAGAAATGCTTTTCGCTAGATGAAGATTTCGCTAAACCTCAATTTCAGTGGAACGGATCATCATCGTCTAGCGAGGCACCACTGTATGGGTCAAAAACGATCATTTTTCTTTCGTAGTGGTCTGATCAAGGAATCCCCTGCTCTTGGTTTTACATCCGCAGGGTGGATCACAAGCAACCCGCAATGTTCCCCAGGAGAGCTTGGAAGCATCATCACTAGGCGCTCTGTCCTTTCCCATAAACATACCAAAACAGCAAGACAAGGGGAAAAAAACCCTCTGGGACACACCTCGGGAATCTCGGCTGAATAACAAGAATAAGTGCACCACCCCCTCGGTGCCTGGCTTGGGGTTAGCTTGCCTTTCCAGGTGCCCACTAGGTAATGCCAACCTGTGTCCTCATCATCATCCCCATCATCACTATGCCTGTTAGTTTCTCCCTCGCCCTCCTGTTCTTCCTCCCGGTATTCAGAGGAACCTGTTACACCGGCGTCACGGCCGGTCCCTTTGGGCGTGCTCAGCGTCTTCTCTCCAGGATGTTTTCCTATCTGCTCAAGGATTTCTTGCTGACAGGTTCGGTTGACGGGGTGGGGTGGGGGTGGTGGGGCTGGAGGAAGGGAGAGTGTGGTGGTGGACTGGCAAACTGGGATCCAAGCCTTCCCGGAGGCTTCGAGACCCACCGCGCCAGCTTGGCCGGGGCCACTGCCCACGAACCTGACACGTTGGGCACCCGAGGAATTCCGTGGCTCCGTCCCTCCCACGCCCACCCGTTCTCCTCCCTGCCATGGTTGCTCCAGAAGGTACACAGCTGGCCTCTCAACCCCGGGGAGGGAAATCGGGTGGGGCATTGGACTCCAGCTCCCATCATCCCTTACTATCTGGGGCTGATGGGACTTGGAGTCCTACCACCGCCAGAGGACCACCCTTGTTTTGTTTTAAAAGGCACATACATATAAATATATCTATCCAGTCTTTCCTCTTTCTCTCTGCTTTTATTCCTTACAATTTGCTAAAATTCACCAGGGATGGAATGAAAACAATGTGTTTTTTTCATGTGAAAAATCCAAATGTGGGCTAGTTCTTTCTCTCTTTCTCTTAACCTGGCCTACCTCATAGGGTTCTTGTCATGAAGATGAAGTGGGTGGGAGGTGAGTCACATCAATGGCCCTGAAATCAACAAAATAGAACAGCGCCATCTCAGGGACTAAAGCTTCTGGGGCATTTCCTGGCCATTAAGTTTGACCCGATACGGAGGGCCGTAGGTTGCCCACCCCATTGCAAGGGACAAGAGTCTGTCATTTTACCAAGCAGGCCGGTCCTCTGGAAAATGTCAAATTCACATTTGACAGCTTGGCCCCTCCCTAGTCAAAATACTTTCACTGCTGCGTCTTATGTTTCAGGCCCATCTGGAAATCCGGTGGCGCCCATCGTGGTTCCCGCCTGCCCTGTGGTCGGAGGGGTGCCAGGGTGCTATAACGCATGGATTTCCAGGTCGCCCGTCTTGACGGCCGCGGCATCTCTTCCAATGTGGGATGGCAGCAACGAAGGAACTAAAAAAGATCGCCAAGTGTAAGGCGGCGTCACTGGAGACCAAAATATCACTCACTCTCCTGAATCTTTGAACACGATGGAAGGGTGTGAAAGCTGGACAATGAAGAAGGCTAACGGGAAAAAAATCTATTTGTTTGAAATGTGGTCCGAAGCTTCGGTGCTATAACGCATGGATTTCCAGGTCGCCCGTCTTGACGGCCGCGGCATCTCTTCCAATGTGGGATGGCAGCAACGAAGGAACTAAAAAAGATCGCCAAGTGTAAGGAGGCGTCACTGGAGACCAAACTATCACTCACCCTCCTGAATCTTTGAACACAATGGAAGGGTGCGAGAGCTGGACAATGAAGAAGGCTAACAGGGGGGAAAAATCGATTTGTTTGAAATGTGGTCCGAAGCTTCACCCTGGAAGTCCAGAAAAAAGGAACAAGTGGGTCCTAGATCAAACCAAGAACGGGAAAAAAATCTATTTGTTTGAAATGTGGTCCGAAGCTTCGCCCTGGATGTCCAGAAAAAGGAACAAGTGGGTCCTAGATTGAACCAAGCCTGAACTCTCTGTGGAGGCAAACTTGTTGGAAACCGAGGCTTGGAAAACTCATGAGAAGGCGGGATTCTCTGGAAGAGACCCTCATGCTGGGAAAGGTAGAAGCCAGCAGGAGAAGAGGAAGACCGAATACAAGATGGATGGACTCCCTCAAGGAAGCCACAGGTTCGAGTTTGCCGGAGCAACTTCAGTCCGCGGTTTTCAAACATTTGCGGCGATCTGTCGCCGACGGAAGAGGGTAACAGAGGTTCGCCAGGTGTCGTTGCTGGTTGTGAAGGGCCCTCCCCCATAACAGTTCAAGCTTTGGGGGCCTCAAAATATAGGACTGCCACCACCCCTTGAGCCAATCGTTCCGAGCCTGGCCTACTCCCCAGGGTTGTTGGGAGGATCAAAAGGCGAGGGGCACCATGAAGGTAGATAAGACTGGGATATCCACGGAAGAAGGGCAAACGGACTATCGTCCGGAAGGAGAAACCTAGGAATGGGGCCGGCCTTCACTCCGGACTAGACGTGCCATTGTTTCTCAAAGGAAGCAAGGATTCGCACTCGGCTCCTTGAGGCCCCCTTTCTGGAGGAAAAAGAGCCATCCACTGCGCTGTGTCTCCTGCAGAAGGGAGAATCCCGACTGCCATCGGGAAGATGAACCAAAGTTCAGCTCAAAGAAAGGGGAACATTTCCCCAGCGGGTCAAGAACAGTGTGGAGGCTTTTGAAGAGGCCCTGGATATGAGTCACCTGCCCCATCAGGCTTAGCCCGGTGTTTATGGGAAGCCTTGGCACCAGGAGGGAGCCGTTGGAGCACCGGGAAGAGGAACGCGTCGGACAGGTGCCTGCTGAGCCAGCTCCCATCACCCGGCCTGGCTGGGGCCCAGAACGCCTGGCGGCTTCGCCTTCGGGCCCTCGGCTCCGACGACGTGGCCTCTGCCTTGCGCACCCCAGGGACGCGGCCCCAGCCGGCTCCCTTGCTTGCGCAGCACGTGAAACACGTATGGTCTGGCCCCCGCCCGAGTGGAGGAACCTGAAGCGCCGCACACCACGAGGGCAGGAGCGGCCTGCCTGCCCGCCCGTTCCACACCGCAAGGAAAGTCAGGCTTAAAGTGTTCGGCTCCCTTCCCCGAGGGAGGGTGGGGGGGAGAAAAAAACACATGACTCGGAGGAAGCTCCCAGGCGCGGCGTGGCCTGCACACCTGGCTGCCACCGAGAGGCCCGTGGCACCGGGGAGGAACACAGCGCATTTCGCATGGTGCCAACGGGAGCCATTAAGAAACACGAAGAAAGTGGAAATATTTAATGTTGCCTCTCAGTCTCAGAGTACTTGGGGGGCAGGTGTCACCCACAGAGGCTGGATGTGGGGAATTTGGGGGCAGAGAAGAAGAAGGTTTGAGGTATGCACGGCAGAGCGCAGAAATGTTCTGTTCTAAATAGGTGTGCGCGCAATGTGCCGTCAAGTTGTGTCCAACTTACAGTGACCTTGATAGGTTTTTCTAAGGAGCACCGAGAGATTTAAGGAGTGATTTAACCAGTGGGTGCCGAGGGTATCCAGTGACTTACAGTGACCTTGATAGGTTTACTAAGGAGCACTGAGATATTTAAGGAGTGGTTTAACCAGTGGGTGCCGAGGGTATCCAGTGGCTAAAGAACTAGGACTCTGAGTTCGAATTTTCCACTTGGCCATGGAAATGTCTTAAGGGTGTACAACTGGTCAACAATTCCTTGAATCTCTTGCTTATCTTGAAAGCTCTATTTAGGTTCCTGAAAGCCAGTTCGGACTTGATGGCTCATAACTAAATAACTTGACCAGCAGATTAGACAGATTCGTGAAGCATGGGTTGATCCATCAGGATAGGTATCTGACATTCGGTGGTCCCCAATCTTGGGCCTCTAGATGTTCTTGGACATCACCCCCAGAAATCTCGGCCAGCAGAGGTGGTGGTGAAGGCTTCTGGGAGTTGTAGTCCAAGAACATCTGGAGGCCCCAAGGTTGGGGGCCACTTCCATACAACAGCTGTAGTATGACTCTTGATTCCGCAACTTGACTCTTACGGAATTGCAGAATTGGCTACGGTTGGATTCAGTGATGACTGCCCAAGTGAATGCTTTTATAGGGAGGAAATTGTGGTGGGTATCATGGTCACATCCTGCCTCCCCCCCCACGTGGGCAATGGCTTAAATCCTTCTGCACCGTTACACAAAAGGTGTAATGTTTAGACCCAAATTGCTGAACTAGATCTCCGTAGACCTTCTCTGTCGGATGCCGATTCGGCACGCAGTGGAGAACGCCTATGGAGATTTCTCAATGGATAGCAATTAGCCGATCAAAGCTACACCTTCTGCATAAATTGTGCAATAGTATTTCAGCCTGTGAACAGCCGATGTGGCCATGTGTTGGCCTGCTAGTGGACTTCCCATTAGGACACTGGGATCGCCCCCTCCAGGAACCAGGATGCTGGTCTGGTTCCCTCCAGAAAACTGTTGCTTTTAAGATTTTAACAGTCCAGTTTGCGTTCAAAGCCCATGGCATGCTCAACCCTTTAAGTTCCTTCCTCAAACAAAACAAAAATTGATCTCATTCAAAACCTGGTTCTAAGATCTTTTCTTCTAATACCCCTTCTCTGTAAAGATACAATTTTCCCATTCAATCCTCTTTGTTTTGAAAAAAAAATGAATAAATAAACAAACACTTGTTTCTTTCCAAAACTAGGTGTCAGCAGAATCTGGAAATGTTACTTTATGAGAAATAAAGTATCTAGAATAGAGATTATCTTGGGTGGTTTGCCCCTGGAAGAAGCGGTCAACTTTCCCCAGGGTTAGATGTTGGACTGCAACGGCCATCATCCTTCCCATGCAGGGTCAATGGGGCAAAAAATCTAGCACATATGGGTAGTACAGGGTGTTGGGTGAACACTGGGGATCTCTAATTGGGCACAGGATCATAGAATAACTAGGTTAGGAGGGATCTAAAAGGCCATCAGGTCCAACCCTGTGCTCAAGGCAGAAATCCAAGTCAAAGTAGATCCAATAAATGGTTGTCTAATCTGCTCTTGAACGCCTCCTATGCAAGAGGCAAGGAAGATGACAGGACAAGAGAGGGAAATCCATCAACTCTCTCTCTCTCTCCTCAAAGGGGAAGAAAGATCTCCTCGCCCGTGTTTCCTTTTCTGGAAAGACGGGGCCCCGCCATGCTTAGCTGGGAGGATGCTAAATATTGAGGCTGAAGACAGCAGGACCTGAAAAACCCACGCATCAGAGGCCTGAAATTGCCGCCCAACGCTACCCGCCCAAGCTGAGTTAACGCTGGAAAATGCAGCACGCCACCCGCCTCCACAAGGATCCTCATAAGCGCCGCAATCTGGAGAAAGGGAGAGAGAGAGACAACACGGCTCGCTTCCCCCGCACCGCACCCCATTGCCCTGGGGCGCTTCGCTTGTTTGCAAAAAAAGAGGGCCTGTCATCTCCTTTCTGGGAGGCCCATGACCCACCCCTGGGCCTGACCTTGCCTTCAAAGCTCACCTCAAAGAATCCAGGCCCGCACCTCCAAAAAGCAGGTGGGCAGGATGGAGGGGGGAAAAGACGGAGACGACGCAGAGACCGAGAACAACCTTGCCCTTCCAGAAAGATCAGAGGTCTATTCAGAGAGATGATGGTGATGATACCCTTCGAAAAATGCAGACAGACAAAAACAGAGGCAGAACGCATCGGAGGAATGGGCCTATGGTTCCTCTGCCGTCCTCAGTGGACAACCTGTGCTTTTACATAGCCGACAGCACAACAGATTAGGACTCGGGAGGCCTGGGTTCTAATCCCGACGCAGTCGCAGAAACTGAAAGATCAGCGGTCTATTCAGAGAGATGATGGTGATGATACCCTTTGAAAAATGCAGACAGACAAAAAGAGAGGCAGAACACATTGGAGGCAAGGGCCTACAGTTCCACTGCCGTCCTCCGTGGACACCCTGTGCTTTTACATAGCCGACAGCACGACAGATTAGGACTCAGGAGGCCTGGGTTTTAATCCCGACGCAGTCGCAGAAACTCACCGGACTGTGCGGAACGGGTGTAACCCCCCCCCCTTTACACATCCAGGTCGGTTACTTGAAGGTTCATAACAACATCATCATCATCCTATAAAATTGCTGGGACTTAGACACAAAGAGGTGGATCGAACCAGAAGGTACACAGCGTCCAGCATTTTTCTGCCTCTTGGCACCAAAACCAGCTCAGAAGCTTCTCGGAACCCCCAATTTATTTATGCATTTGCTTGCTTACTTAACTTAGTGTGTTGCCTATTGGTCCCACCTCCCTGCCCACAAGCTCTCTTGCCTCTTGCCACGCGTGGCCTGCCTGACCCAGGATCACCCAGGGAAAGCTGAAGCGACATGTTCCCCGTTGGCAAGCTCTTAACCATGACACCCACACCCGTCCGTGGAGAAACGGTGACTTGCTTAGGCCAAGTGGAGCTGGCCTTCCACCCAGTCTGGAACGTTCCTCCTGGAACTAGGATTTCTCCCCTGTTCCCAGCCCATGTGGCGATGCTGGCACCGGGGACGATGGGAGCTGTAGTCCAACACCTATGGAAAGGACCCATCTCGCCGGGCTGAACAAAATAGGTTCTGAGATGCCTCTTCCGGTCGGGTGAAGTCCAGTTTCTTCAGGATTTTTGGGGGGGGGGTGTGTCTCAAAGGCAAGCTTGGTGGATGCAGCCGTCCCGGATTTGGGGCCGATTTCCTGGAGGTTCACAGCCACGGGAAAGAGGGTCCGAGGGATCCCCATGAAGCCCCCAGCCGAGCAAAGATCCATCCCCTTCTTTCCCCTGCAAGACAAGACTGCCAACTAAGCCCGGAAGTAACTCAACCTGGTTTACAGGTTGTGAGTTCGATTCCCCCACTGGGCCTCCATGGGGTCCCTTCCAGCTGTGCCGTTCTAAGGCGGTTATTAAGATGATGATTATATCGTTGCATAACTGAGTATTTGGTCAGCATGAGCAGCAACGAGCAGGATCTGCACATGCATCAAAAGCCATAACAACCGCCCATTGTTCTGGGTCAGACCATCTTCTTGGACACTAAACGTACCTTTTCTTCGAAGGAAACCCCACATTCATGCATGAGGCTTCCACGAATGTCCTTCTGGCCGTTCAATGGTGTTTTTTTTTTTACTTAGGGCAATCCTACTAGAGTTTTCAAGTCATGCAAGAGATTGAAGGAAGGCTTTTCTATGGCGACATCAGAGTAACGAGGACTTGAATCTGGTCCTCCCCCCCCCCAAAAAAAATCCTAGCTGAACACCTTCTCCACTACACCACACTGAATTTAATTTTTTTTTTAATAAAAAGGAAAAAACACCTCGGATTTCATTTCAATCAGGGACCCAGTCTCAGTGGGTTCGTCCTACAGAAGCAGCAACAAGAGAAACAGACAGAAGCCATAAGCCTAGAGGTGGAGGATGATGTCCTTGCAAACCGAGATCTCTTAATATTTTGGGTCCTTTCTTTGCTGTGGGTCACATTATCCCAGCACCATCGGGACCTGTACTATCATCACCGCCTTAAATGTCTGACTCCACTGTGTACCCAAAGCGTGGCTATGGATGAAACAGACAAAAAGTGGGCAAGTTTTCAAAAGCAGGGTGGACACTTTAAGGGGAAAAACAACAGGAGCAAAATACACCCACAAAGGCTGAGTTTTTTTGGGGGGGGGCGGTTGAAGAATGG